GGTAAAGAGAGATGATAAACCGATTTGTACCTCCCTAAAAAGTTGTCCTAGCTCGCTACCTACTATCTATATGCAAATTTTCACACTGCCGTACTCTAAACGAAACTATCAATTCTTTACTTTCTCCTATACAATCGTATAAAAATTACGACTTTTGTCTGTTATTTGAAATTAGCATCTTCAAATATAAATTAATAGTTTGTTTATTTATTTATTTTTTCCATTTTTCTAAGAAAAATTTAATTTCTGCTAAGTTTTTAAGCAGTGTAAATACATATACACGGCTGGTAACGAATCACTGTTTAGTGACTTGGTCTTTTTTTTCAAGTCAATCACTAAAAAGTCTCTTTTTTTAAGGCCAGATCTCTAAAGTAACTTTTTCTTATGATGAGTCACTAATTTAAACTTTTTTAAACGAGAATTTATTTCAAGATTGATCATTCTTCTGAATAGGTCTACATTTTGTCCTATTTTTTGAACAATTTGAAGTTGACGACCTTGTATAGAGTTTTACGTTTAATCGTTCTTCTCTTTCTACAGGGTGTTCACTCATTTGGCTAAATAAAGTTCCCTGAGTTTTCCAGGTTTTTCCATAACTTTGGCGGATAATTTCCAGGTTTATAATACGAATGCTATTTATGAAATGTGTTAAAAATATGTTTTAACGCAAACGTTCTGAAGACATGACAATTAGTTTTAAAGAAACAGCTTTAATATTAAATCCATTAAATGTTGAAGTTGAACACTTACTTCATTTTAGTAAGTCTAAGATCACAACATTTTTAATGCCTTGACGTTTCGTATTAACAAAAATGAAGAAACTTTAATGAAGTTCTATTGATATCAGAAAAGCTAGATTTAGAGATCTTTGGGGAATTACAGAGATCTTAAGGGAAAGTCCCCGAAACTTTAAAAATCTTTAAGGGTGAGTTTAGACAAATTCACGATAGTTCCATGATGTGCTGAAATAAAATCGAGAACCTTCAAGATGTTCCGAAAGATTCATTAAAGAGACGTTCACAAAATTTATGAAAACTTCAAAAATATTTCAGGAACTTCATAGAAATCCAGAGAATTCCAGGGATGTTTAAGGGTGCTTACTAAAATTCCATTTATTTTAAAGCAGAACCGAGATCTTCATTAGAGTTGAGAGTTTTATGGAAGCTCTGAGAACATCAAGACAGATCAGAGAATAAAGAGCAGTTCTAAAAATTTTAAGGAAATTGCAGAAACCGTAATTTACGGAAACTTCGGATTGCTCAGAGAAAATTTCTGGAACGCAATAAAAATTATAGGAACATCCGGAAAATGTGAGAGTGTTTCAAAGGTGTTATTTAATAGAAATTTCAAGATCTACAAAAATTCGAAAATTAAATTAAGTTGATTAGAGGACATCAACGAGGTTCCATTAATAAAAAAAGTCGAGAACTATTAGCAAGCACCGATATTCTAAAGATATTCCAGAGAACTTCTAAGATATTTATTTATTTATTTTTAGATTGATTCAATGAAGTTTCGAGTACTTCAAGAACGATCAGATAACATCAGAAAAATCACATTAACTTAAGGAAATTCGCAGCGACTTGCAAGGAGTTCCATAGAATTATGGGATATTCCGATAATTCTATGATTGATCCGAAAACTTTACAAGCTTCAGGGAATTATAAATATATATTCTAGAAAATTTATCGGAACATTTGAACATTTTAGAGAAGTTAAGGTAAGCATAGAAAAATTCTGGGATGTCCAGGATTTCCAGGGAAAATAAGTGATTTAAGGAAAAGTTCCGTGAGCGTTTATAAACTTTATAAAATATAAGGAAAATTGTTGAACTTAAAGGCAATTAAATCAGTTTCAGTAAAACGGTGGGTTCATTAAAAAATACTTAGTTAACACTTTTTTTTAAAGTGAAATTTCATTTTTATAGTTCTAGTTTTCTGTAAACTAGTGATATTCAAAAAATCAAATCAATTTTGTTAGAAAATCCGGTGATCAGGAATTATTCCAAAGACCATAAGTTGATCAAATACAGAACAGGAAATAGAATATTAAGTCAACACATTAACAGAACTCAACCAAACTATGTACCAAAATATTTTTAGATTGTATTCATTTTTCCGGCTATTTACCGGTTACTTTTCGGTTCTCCGGTATTGCCGGTTGGGTGGCCTCCCTACAGATTATTATTATTATTATTATTATTATTCTTGATCTACCGACTTTCTTGCAAGAATATCTTAGAGGAATGATTTGAGCTATTGAACAATATGAGATCTTCAGAATAATTACTTATCCACCAGAAGAGTGCTTATGAATGAATTGAAGGTCTTTGGAATAATTACATCTGTGGACTTCAAAACATTCTTGTAAGCCTCAGAAGAGTTCAAAACAATTCACTTTAATTTTGTGTATTTCACATGTGTTTTGAAACTTTTTTTTTTAATTCAGCAAACATCATAAATACTCAATAATTTTCAAAGATGCAAAACCTTTGAGAAGCTTGTCGAATTGTAAGATATAAGCAGAACTTCCGAAATTTGTTAAGAAATTTAGTGTTGTATTGTGAATGTTATTAAATGTTTCTGAAGTTCACGAAGTTCTTTGAAATTTGCAGGACTTTGCTAATGTTTGTATTTATTTCCTAAATTTCTAAGATCGTCTTTTGAAGTGTACAGAAATGATAAGAGCCGGCGAGTGGCCCGTGCTCCCCTTTGCCCATTCGTAACACTGGTTCTTACAACATAATAGACACGGATGCTAGCCTCTTCATAGTAGCATGCAGAAGTAGCTAAGCTGCTCACTCCTCCATCTAAATAGCACCGCAGCTGAGCTGCGCGTGCAATGAAAGAAAAGGGATATCGACTAACTCCGGCAGTCATGCAGTACCTACCTATTTTGTTATGTTGTCAATTCTCGTTCTCTTCGGCCGATGCTATGCAGAGATAGTGAGAGAGCAAGAATTTCCGCCAAGCGGAGCTAGAAAAATATCGTCGGGAACGTATTTTTTGAAGCCCGCTGTGGCGTGGTAGCAATCAAGCCATCTTCAGAGAGCCGAACGCACTCGAATACCCGAAGTCCGCTCCGCTACTCTCGCTCTCGCTCAAGTCTGAATACACCTTAAGAGCTGCTGATGTTGTACTTGTGTGAGTTCTGAAAATAACAAGCAATGATGTCATAGAAATAACATTTCTGATCAGAAATGGTTTAATTTACATCAAATTGAGGAATTAGAACGAAATCACTCATGTCCTATGATAGTTATTTGATAATTTTCTTTTTGCTCGAATGTTATTTTACCGGTTGTGTTGTGTGAGAGAGACGACGGTGGAGTATGAGTGTACGAATAAAAACAGACTGTCGCACACGACAACGAAGCGAGAGTAGTAAAAAACGTCAACTGTTTCAACCCCTGACGGAGGAAATGTTCCTAACAATATTTTGAAACGATCTAAGGGAGTAAAATATGACCTTCCATACGAAATACTTGTGTAATTGATGAGCAAAGTTAGCGACCACTATGATTGTGGTCCTAAAATGAATCTTAGAAAATGGTTTTCAGAAAATTTAAACAATAAATCAATCTTGTAAAAATTGCTTTTTATTTTTTCGATTGAGCGCTGCGTTATTTTGTAAAAAATCCATGAAGTGAGTCATTCCAATCCGATCCACTTTTACCTTAATGCTTGATCTTTCATTTTCTTAAACTTTTCTAATCAAATCAGATTGCAGTTTGATTTAAGCATTTGGTAATTTAAAAGGATATCGGATCAGCTTGTGGTTGCTTGAGCCTACTGTAGGAATAATGTGTAGTCTAATTATAACGAAAAGTATATATTTTAAAAAATCATAATAATAAATAGTTCCTTCGCTTTGAAGCTCCTCTTGCTTAAAAGTACCAAGCAAGCAGTTCGTCCGCACTCGCATTAACGAAGTAGCGCGAGCTTTTGGATTCGTTCGGAAAACAGATCCACGCTGATCTGGCATTCGGTATTTATCATGCTCATAAAAATAAAAGAAATCCGATCGATGAGGCTTCCGAAGAGTATGGTCCACTTTGATCGATTAGGGTTGCACCGTGATAGAGCGTATCGTGTTTTGCGAGAGCAGTGAAAGAGAGATAGCTCTGAAACAGCCCAAGCATCACATAAGTTCTATAACAGTTTATTTAACCATAATGACCCTGATGAAGACTGCACATTGTAGTCGAAACACGTATCTGTCATGGATACCAAAATTAATTAAGTGGAATTAAATGGAAGATAACCTTTTTTGCTGTTATACAATGAAACTAGAAAAATATGTTCCACTCATTGCAAAAATATGTCAAATCTGTATATTTTCATAAAATCTGTAATCTTTATACACATATAGGTATCTGTATCAAATTATTGAGAAAAATCTGTAAGATTACAGATAAATCTGTACTGCTTTACGAGGCGCGCAAAATGTGGTAAATGTGGTGTTTACAACTGAGCGGATTTGCTAGCGCTAGTATACTACCACTGTGCAAAAAGTAGCCAACATAATGTAAACAGGGCATCAGCGTCTGCCAGCATGAGCGCTAGCAAATCCGCACAGATGTAAACACTCCAAAAGCGATTCCCATATCCGAATAGGTATTCACGTGTTCTTTCTGGCACATGCATCATCCTTTTTTCTTTAACCAAGGGGTGCGTCAATATTAATAATGATATGGTTTACACAATATCCAACGATAATAACGCGGAACTTTCATTAATTTATTTGTTACTATCAATGCTTAATCCCTTCACAGAGTAATAAAAAGAATAATGACCCGTGCTTATTTAATTGTACAAAAACGGTCTTCTCGCTGAGGTGATGGGGTACCGGGCTTACCAACAGTTCCCCTCAATCTATCCCTTGTCACAGCCTTTACCCGGTAGCCAATGTGTAATCCCCTCGATATTGGATCACTGTTTTCCTATCGCTAATCCTGATTGCTTTTCTGTTTTCAATTTGTCTCCCTTCCCCGCCCACAGGTGAACATCCGGAGCCGATGCAACACGGCGGCCAGCTGAGGATAGGTGACCCACTGCACGTGTTCGTCTTTGTAATCATCACGCTGCTGCTGGGTGGCCGATGAAGGAGGTGATCGTCGCTACAGTCAGCCGAGAGCAGCACCAGCAGCATCCAACCGGAAAGGAAAATCGATTTCGAGTGCGACAAAACCGGAACAATACAAGTGGCACATCGGCACATATAATGGGACCCCCCTTCCGTTATGCTTCAATGAGATCCTGGAGTAACATCGATTAAATCTAGAGTCGACGGGACGACGTGACGTTTAGAGTGCAGCTGCCAGGGAACAAGTGGGGGACGGTGGGAATTAAAGATACTGAATGTGCGATGTTTGCTTGAGTATCCCAAACAGCACACTTGCATCGAAATTAGTTGCTGCAACTTGATTGTGACTGGAATAAGTTGCACAAAAGTATCCACAATAATTTTATTGTTCAGTGTCAAGTGTGCTGCTAGGGATGTGTGCGCATGGATGGCTGTGTCGGAAGTATCTCGAACAATGGAAACGATAATTTAATTATCACAATCACCAGGTATAGTTGAAATTAATTAAGTCAGTGGGTATGAACGAGTTAGGTAGATAATGTGGATCCATTGAATGAAACTGAAAAAGGGGCGACTGGTGTGTATGGTGGGACGGTGGTGGAGATTAAGTTGCACTTAACAGTGGCGTTGATCACGGTAGTGCTCTAATCCATTGGAAAATCGTTGGAACTTTTGCTGTTTTCTGAGCAAATGTATCGTGCAATTTTTAATTCGCAAAAAGTTCATATATATGACCAAAATTTCTACAATTAAAAAAAAAATAAGTGTTAATTTTAAACAGTTTAACAGTTTGCATTTTTCATGAGCCTTTTTTATAATGTCGAACAGAGACATTTTGAGCCAACTTCTGTGAATACAACAGTATGTTATTTTCGCCTAGAGGGCACATATTGAAACCTGATATTCTTCAAGTAAAATTCATCAAACATGTTTAGTTTCACAGTGAGTAGGATTTTTTTTACTTGTGTGCTTTGTACAACGGCGCGAGTACTGAAAGGTTAACAAAATCATTTCCGATAATGGTTTCTCATATTTTTTGGGCCATACAACCATGGATCTGATGACACTTGAAGTCAACTTAAAAGATCATGGTTTGTAACTGTCCTGGTTTTGTATTTACAAGAAATCTGGAGTTAAATATACCAATGGAAACTATGAGTCGATAATTATTGCGACACTTTAGACTGATTGGTAAATCGGCCATAGTTATCGAAATGAAACCAAATTGGAACAGTAGTTCAGTACAAAGGGTTTCCCAGAATTTCTACGCACGATTTAAAAAAAAAACGATAACGTAACTCTGTTTAAATCAAATTCGATTTTTATTTTCTAACAGTTTAACGTAGAAAATCCGAGATCCGATCAGTCGTAAGCCAAGGAGCGGATTTTTGATCTCACACACAGATGCCTTTCCAACAAATTTTGGATACTTTTTCCCAGTCTTTCGCCAACTTTGTAACGGAATCCGCTGCCTTTACATGTTTCCGCAATTATGCTTTGGTCAGATCATGGGTTACAGACGCTTGTTTAAACACTCACGCACGTAACCATCGGTTGCCATTGTATCCGTTGTCACAAACGGTTTGGAAAGCATACCACACTTACAAATGGCTTACCAAAACATAGCCTTTTTACCGAATTTTTCGGTAAAAATCGACTTACCCGCGTCGTCAACACTTCTGCCATCACGAACGCTGTAGTACTGATCACCAGGAAGAGCGTTGTCATCAAATTTAACGTATGATTCATCGTCGATAATAACGCACACAGATTTTCCGCACAGCAATTGGTCGTAAAGTCTGGAACACGCAAAAATTGGTCAACTGCAAATTGGCGTATTTCTGTTAAAAATGCATAAAAAAACCCAGAAATGCTGCTTTTGGAAGTTGTGTGTATATACAATGGTTGCTATGATGAGTTTTCACTGTTTGCTCTCCAGTTTTCAAAATGACGTCCAAGCAAGAGGAGCAGCGTGTCAAAATTTGCTCGCGCAGCAAGATAATCCGACGCTCTCACACGCCAAGTTGGCAAAATTGCTGGATGTGGCCAAATCGACCGTAACAAACGTTTTAAAAGTGTTCGGGGAGCTTCTGTCAACCGCTAGGAAGCCTGGAGGAGGCAGGGATCGTAATCCGGACGTGGCAGCGACGACGAAGAAGGTGGCGGTGAAATGTAAGCAGAATCCTAACCTCTCCATCCGGAACGTCACTGGCAAGCTCAATGTCTACAAGTGTCTGTGGGCCAAGAAACGAGCCGGGTTGTCGACGTTTAAGAAGGTGAAGGTGGCGAACCGAGATTACAAACAAAACACGTCGGCAAAGCAGCGGTCCCGAAAGCTGTATACGAATCTGCTCACAAAGTTCGACTGTGTCGCCATGGACGATGAAACTTATGTGAAGGGGGATTTCAAGCAGCTTCCGGGACAGGAGTTTTATACCGCATCAGGAAAAGGGAAGGTGGCTGAAATTTTCAAAACCATCAAACTATCGAAGTTCCCGAAAAAATATCTCATCTGGAAGGCCATATGCACGTGTGGTCTAAAAAGCGGCATCAGTACTACGAAAACCATCAATTAAGAGATCTACGTCCAGGAGTGCCTGGAAAAGTGGCTGCTACCATTCCTAAAGCAACATAATAGACCTGTGCTGTTCTGGCTGGACTTGGCAAGCTTCCACTATGAGAAAAAGGTAATCGAGTGGTACGATGCAAACAACGTGGTTGTGGTACCCAAAGACCACAACTCTCCCAACAGCCCAGAACTCCGCCCTATCGAACGGTATTGGGCTTTGGTCAAACGGAATCTAAAAAAAAAAATTAATAAATGATATGAATTTTGACTGCAAGAAACAGTTTTTTGTCGACCAATTTTTGCGCGTTCCAGTCCTTATAACTTCCGAGCCCTCGGTTTGACGGATGCGACTTGTTCTTCACTCCGCTTTGGCTTCTTCTGCTTTTTAAACTGCCGTTATACGCATAACTGTCCCAAGTTCTATGCAATCCTTATGCACCGTGGGACTCTTATGCGTATAACGGCAGTATACGTTTTTAGATCCATTCTTGCATTGGCCCGCTGGACGTTACTCTTTGAGGATCCAACTTTTTTAGCCACGTCGTGAACCGAAGCACTTTTCGAGAGAAAGCTGGCATGAATTTTCCGGTCCAGATTTTGGTCAACTGAAACAAGCAGGGGTGTTCCAAAGTCGTGCTTAGACATTCTGGGACACCTTATATGTATTTATTTCAGCTTACATACGACGGTTAAATTTTAGCATGAGTTTGAGTGAAATGCTCGACATTTGCGATTGACGCCCTCCATCAGAGCCTGTACATTAGACTGATGCAAATTTTGACATTTTCGCTCCACAGTGCTCAAACAGTTCCGAATCGGGTCCTTATTAGCCTCCCAAAATTTGAACTCATTCGATAAGAAACTGACTTTGCACAAACCATTTGAAGTTTATATGGAAATTACTATGGGAAAACCAAATGCTTTGTTCATATCCATCTAACAATTTACCATATCGCTCTGCGTTAAAAAATGATAACTGAGCTCGTAGCAAATTTTCTCAGCTACAACTTTGTCCAATACCACTTTTCAATATAATGTAAGCATCTAAAGTTATCAATAATTCAAACCACTAATGTCTCATGATTATGCTCAATCAACTGTTCAGCAGGCAACATTGGTGTTTCTGGCGCTTAGAAAAGAGCACAACAATCGTGGCTACTATGTCACACTGCAAGATACAGTTTTACTCACAAAACAGCTGCTTGATCATGCCATAAGATTATCAATCTCTTAAACAATTAATAACTATTTTATTTGACGTTTGGCTCAACAACTATATTCTGCTAAGTTGTAGCTGAGAAAATTTTCCATCAGTATAGCTTTTGAATTTTTGAACAGTGCAGTATGGAAAAAAGTAAGGAGCTTACTTACCTTACCAATCAGGCTAAGGCCTTTTTGTCCTCTGCTGTCCGAAGAAGTCGTCTCCTTTCTACTCGATCCATGGCCACAGTTCGCCAGCCTCGTAGTCTGCGAAGGGTCCGCAGGTCACCTTCTACTTGGTCGATCCACCTTGCCCGCTGCTCGCCTCTTCTTCTTGTTCCTGTTGGGTCGCTTTCTAGAACCATTTTCACTGGGTCGTCGTGCGGCATTCTTACGACGTGCCCAGCCCACCGTAGTCGCCCAATTTTTGCAATGTGGACGATGGATGGGTCTCCCAGCAGCTGGTGCAATTCGTGGTTCATTCGCCTCCTCCACGTTCCGTCATCCATCTGCACTCCACCGTAGATGGTACGCAACACCTTCCGTTCGAAAACACCAAGGGCGCGTTGGTCCTCCACGAGCATAGTCCAGGTCTCGTGGCCGTAAAGGACCACCGGTCTAATCAGCGTCTTGTAGACAGTCAACTTCGTGCGGCGGCGAATTTTATTCGACCGGACCGTCCTCCGGAGTCCAAAGTAGGCACGATTCCCTGCCATAATGCGTCTTTGAATTTCTCTGCTGGTATCATTTTCGGCGGTCACCAGTGAGCCCAAATACACGAACTCATCGACCACCTCGATTTCGTCACCGTCAATCTGAACTCGGGGTGGGAGGCTAACATTGTCTTCCCTAGAACCTCTTGCTTTCATGTATTTTGTCTTTGATGCGTTGATGGCAAGTCCAATCCGTCTAGCTTCAGCCTTCAGTCTGATGTACGTTTCCGCCATCATCTCAAAGTTCCGTGCCATAATGTCAATGTCATCGACGAAACCAAGGAGCTGGATGGACTTCCTGAATAACGTGCCACTCGTGTCTATCCCAGCTCTTCTGATCACACCTTCTAACGCGATGTTGAACAGCAGACACGAAAGTCCATCACCCTGCCGTAACCCCTTTCGAGATTCCAAGGGACTCGAGAGTGTCCCCGATACTCGAACAACGCACATCACTCGATCCATCGTTGCCTTGACCAATCGCGTCAGTTTATCCGGAAATCCGTACTCGTGCATAATCTGCCATAGCTGATCTCGATCGATTGTGTCGTATGCGGATTTGAAATCGATGAACAAATGATGTGTGGGCACGTTGTATTCGCGGCATTTCTGCAGAACCTGCCGAATCGCGAAAATTTGGTCCGTGGTAGCGCGGGCACCCATGAATCCCGCCTGGTATTGCCCCACGAACTCTCTTGCAAATGGTGACAGACGGCGGCATAGAATTTGGGAGAGTACCTTGTAGGCGGCGCTCAGCAGTGTGATCGCGCGGTAGTTGCAGCAATCCAACTTGTCGCCCTTTTTGTAGAT